GACGTGAGCCTTGTGGTTTGATAACAAGTATGGAGAAATAGGAATTGACTTTTGCTGAACCGAAGCTCTGAATTGAAGTCTCGGGAAAAGGAACGATTTATTGTGCTTATCGACCCAAAAAAAAAAAAAAAGGGAATGCGAAGAAATGAAATTTTGAAATGACATGTTGCTCGTTTCATATGAACAGATTAGGCCTACGATATATTTATAGATGTGATGCACGTACCAAGTATGGTCCTAAAACAGATATTAATGCAGAAATATTAATAATAATAATTAGGGAGAATGTTCAGTTTAAATTCTTACTACAAGATGTTTATAAGATAACAAATAGCATATTTGTTAAAAAACATACAGTTTTCAATCAATAATGTTTACAAGATCGTGTCGCACTACATGCCCAGCGAATGTTTTTCTCATGTCATATTGAAAACTGTAATCCAATACCAAAAATATAAAAAGTTATTATAATAATCATAAACCAATAAAATAATTATGACGTATTCGGACAAGAAGCAAACAATAATAAGAATAAATTTCATGGAGAAAAAAAGAGCGGAGCTATTAATTAGTAAAACAATGAATTCTCAATTTTAATCAAGGATCAAGGTGATCGTTGAATTATTCTCCTAAAAATCATGACTATTAAAAAAAATCCTTTATATGATGCAAGTAATCCAGTGTTTTATGCCAAATTTGAACAGTCTGTTCCTCACTTGAATGTCATCAAGCATAAGAAGATTATAATATCAAAATAAATTACAAGCTGAAATAAATCTTTTATTAATATTTTTATAATATTTTTAAGTATATTTTTTAATCTACTATTCCTTCACTGGCCACAATTGTAAAATATTCTGTTTAATATGAATATAGCCTCTGCAATCTATAAATTTTGTATACAAATTTTACATAATTTAACATAAATTGTACCAATTTGAAATAATTTAACATAAATTTGTTTATGCTGGACTTTGATTTCTTTTAGTTGTTTTTTAACAATCATCCTCCATTTATTTTGTTGAATTCACATTTGTGTTTCCTCCTTTTAAGATCCATTTTTTTCTTATGATTTCCCCCAATTGTCTCCCCCTTTTCGGTGCAGTTGCTGTTTTAATCAGCAATATCTTTGTTTATCTTGTAATTTTTAGTAATAATGATAATTATTAATTTATTTAGATGTATTTAAAAAAAAATTGAGGGGGGGTTATATACTTTTTAAGTTAAAAAAAAAAAAGTTGTAAAGTTGACTGTTTTCAGCCTGTTGGCTGCTTTTAATTCAAATAAATAAATAAACCATAATACAAATAAATCATGCAGGTCGGCTGGCTATATAATTCCTACTTTTGTAATGCACAATGATGAATTATTCAAATATTTAAATTCCGAGATTGCAAGAAACCCTCTTGAAAAAAATAAATACCATCAAAACTTAAATATACAGCGCGAGTAAAAAAAATCGAAACCCAAATGTCGGGACTATTGTTTGATTGAAGTTCTGCATGTAGCACTTTCAAAACCTAGGATATGAAAGCCTAATTCATGAGCTTTCTTTTAGTACAAGAATCATTCAAATCACTCATATACCTTTCAAGTTACGGAATTTTAAACACAACCGCCGTTTTAAGGCTCTGTCCACGGATCACAAAAAAGTTAATTGGGAGGCATAAAAATGATATTCTCATTTATTACTTTTTTGATTGAATTTATTGCAATAATATCTTTATTCATGTTTGTTTTATTTCATTGCAAACAGCTGGTCACAGCAGTAGTCACGGTTATAAAAAAATGATTAAATATGAGTTTGTTAATAAATTTAAGAAAAGAGATGGGATCGTTGTAACACGCAGGTCCAAATTCGAAACGACTTTTCGCTTCTGAACTTATTTTTTGGAGTGGGGGGGGGGGTAATTCCATGGACTTTTGAGTAGGTCCATGTTAATTTCAAGCATACTGGGGAGTCAGGTTGGCGCAGCAGTTCTTTCCTTGCCTTCCACCGCTGTGACCCGGGTTCGAATCCCACCCGGGCCAATATGTGGATTGGGTTTTCAGTCCCTACCCGATTCCGTGGGTTCTCCCCAGAATGTTCTTCTGGGGTTTTCCTCCCACCTCTAAAACTGTAATTTCTTCTCATTGTCTTCTCTCTACGGGTTTCTTCAGGCTTGCGAGCTACAGTGCCTATTGTGCTTTTGAGGAATCCTTGGTTTCATTACCAGAAATATTTTGGTTAATTGTTGTCCCCCTATTTTTATTAACCTTCTTGTAGCAGCATGGTGAAAGGAATAGTTTCCTCCATGGTAGCAGTTTGAATATTGCAAACATAACACATACAAAACAAGCAAACAAACAAACACCTAGCACCCTAACAAACAAACACCCCGGTAAGTTCGAAACGGTGATACACTGGCAATGGTAGTATCACACTGAAATACATACACAAGCATATTCAGGCAAAACTACCGCCCAAATTGTTGCAATATGTTTTACGTATATCAATTGTATCAGAGTACAAGAACCCGACTGGAAAAGCTTCGTTTAATTTCTTTGTCATTGGCTGCCTTGCCGCAAGTAAACAGATGTTCCATCATCTATATTTCATTGGTTCTGGTACGCAGTATACAGCAATTCAGCCTGCTATCATAATAAGTCGCGCCGTGTTTACGAGTCTCACGGGCAGCCGGGGATCCTGTGATATTACTGGAGCTATTATTAATGAGTCACTTTAATCTTCATCTACAGCCAGAACACACCTGCATTCACTAATTAATCCGCGGCGAGGCTATGTGTTTTCCCACGCTTCATGGACCTATGTCACTCCATTAGGATGGACACGTAGACTGACACTTTTATGATTAGAAAAAAGTCTTCATAATAATTATCATAAAACCAGCCCCAGGGCCTTATGTTCAAGTTGGCCATTGTTGTCGTGTTCCCTGAATGTATTTCATAAATTGTGAACTGTTGAATGGGATGGTGCCAGACTATTTATTCACTCTAGACTCGCTTTCATTTATTTTTAAAATGTGGCTTAAATCATTAGAGTATGTTTAATCACAAATGTTCAATTATTCATCAGAGCAGAGTCTGGTATTAATTTGTAACGTCATTACTTTCATTTCTCTACAAAAGTTTAAAAAATGAAGATTTTACGTCACTCTCAATCCAATCATGGCCGACTCGTGAATAAGGCCCATGCCTCAATTTGTTATCATAAAACCTGCCCCGTGTGCGACCAAACAATGGCAATTTATTCTGTCAAGGTTTAACGCTTTTATAGCACAGAGTATTGGGGGACACCTATAATTATGATTAAACAACTCCCCCCTTAACCCCTTAAAAACATATTTTTAGAAAGAGTTACACTCTTTTATAGACCAAGTGATATTTGTTTTCAAAAATTGGATGTTGTGGTCACGTGATGCAAGCTTTAATTCAGCAAACGGGTCACTTTTGCGCTGCATATATATATTTCTTAAAATGTGAATGGCTTGAAACTGTTTACATAATACTGTTAAATGTAGGCCACGTAACATGACGTCAGCATGACGTCACAGGGCACACAGTCTGTACTTCCCAAAATATGGCATCCCAACCCCTTGTATGATACTCGCGACTGTTCAAGACCTTTCATTTCCGTGCACATAGCTCTTCTTCTATTTCCATGGTAACAACTCAGGAGAATGGTCTTTACTCTCAAATTGCGATTGATGCCTCAATGGAACCAGTCTTTCAGCTGCAAAATACTGCGTTATCGAGTACAAGTGTCTGAGACATTCTCCCCATGTTAAACCGAGATCTCTCGCACTAAAACACGATACGAGCATAAAAATTATCTCCACATCCATTTCAGAATCATTTCTCTCTGCATGCACTTAACTTGCATACGTCTCCCAACCCCTGGAAGATTGCCATGATGTTCAATCTTCGAGATTAAAAAAACCCGTAATCGCACGTACAGGTCTACCTATACATTACAGGACAATTTGTCTGTCGTGTTTGTTTATTTTAGTTCTAAACACTGCCCTTCTTCATCCAATATCAGACCGACATCATTCGGCTAAATAGGGCACGTCTCCCTCCACCACAGCGACGTACGTATTCTTCCTGTACTGTTCACACGGTCATTAAGACTCATTAAGTCCATATCTTGTCTCAATAATTAATATACGTGGGAAAAGCTAAAGACAGGGGGAAAATTACATAACACCTTACGGAGATACAAGCCATGCAGATGCCAACCAAACTAATCGAAATGTTGCCCACAAATCCTCATCTTCCCATTAATTTCACATTCATTGTTCAATGTTTCATGTCCGCAATGTTTTCCCACGCTCTCTACCACCTGTTTGTGCTCGCTCAGAAGCGATGTACATTTTTCTCATAAAACAAATTGAGCAATTAGTGGAGGGATTATCTTGAGGTCCGCAAACAGTCGTGATGGAGAGTCGTTGCACAGCTGCGCGTCTGCATACATGACATGTACTTGTACGTCAATGTAGCCGGCGGCTGTTTAACGTTTGCAATGAGTCATTAATGTATTCATGTCATTGCTGTATAACGATATTTCGCTTTAAAAAACATGATGACTGTCTTACTATAGCCCATAGACAATCAAGACATATTCCCTAAAAAAAATCCAAACGAATCTTGATGAGGTCGCAAAATAGAATGACGTCCCAAAATGTAATTGCTCAAAATAAGATGGAACAGTCGTGGAACATAACGACTGATCATTACCATTCACAACTTGGGGGCGCTGTACCGTTGGTATGATCATGGAGCTATAGCTCCATGGTATGATGTTCCTGTTAAGTAAAACTCTTATTTAAAAAAGTGCTTTTTCCAAGGAAATTCAAACTTCAAATGTTATTCTCTCCCAATTACAACACGAAGAAGGCCACAAAACAATCTTCTCCGAGACAATAAGGATGTGTTTACCATTACTAGGCCTATGTTGCAAAGACATCTATCTTACTGCAGTGAAGATGTGTGCGTTTTTTCCCCACATTCGCAGAAACCTGTTTTTACCAACCCAGGGTGCTCGTTGCCGGTGTGGTGGAAAATCTGGTCTCTAACAAATACAGACTCCTTCATTGTATTGCGCATGCCTAAATGAAGATAATTTGGACAGTGACAGGCCAGGTGTGAGGGTAAGACTCCATACAAGGAAAAAGAGACTAGATTTCATAGGAGTCCAAATTTCATAAGACACCAGTGCAATTTTCAGCCCCGACAGTTTTAACTGTAGAGCGCCCTCATATCGTTTAACAAAATGGTAAACGTAAACTTTGTAGCAATCGATTGTCGGGGAGGGCGCACTTGAAGAAAGTTGTGGAGTACGAGTGTAGACAGAGCTTCTACGTCGGTATAGTGGTTGACTCAGTAGTTGACAGAACATGACTCATGCCGTTATTTATTATTTCCGCAGAGCAATTTTGTGTGTAAATTGGTTTATTGAATAAAATGTTCACCAACAAGATAGGTCGGTGTGAATCAGTAGGCTTAATACATCCTGTCAACAAACTTATTTTAGTAACAGAAGTTGTTTAGAAACAGCTTGACATTTAAAATGATTTTACCTAGGATAAACTCAGTCCAAACTGTCCTCCAATAGGGTTAAGTATTAAACATTTTCGTTTCAATTTCAAACGAAACGTAAAACCCCAGTTTTTGTACTCCCTTCACTAGTAACAAAAGTTTTGCACTAAAGTTTGTTCTTGTTTTTAGATGCATCTTTGTGAGCCTTTCTAAATCTGCGAAAAGTTCTACAGGGTGGTCCAAAAAAGACTTTTTTAGAGGCAGATTCCTCAAAATTGAAAAGATATGTTGAAATTGTTTTAAGATATTCCTAAACTGCAAGATCTTGGTCATATATGGTGAAAACGGAGCTGAAATTAAATCAAGTTAAGAAATAGCGGCCACTTGCAGAAAAATGGTCAAAAACTAGTTTGCCCACGTCTATGGCAGTCATGTAGACCTAATTACAATTATTGCGCAGTTCTTTTAATTGTGTGTGCAGTGCTATTGTGTTGACCGTGTGAATTTTTGACCATCTTTCTTTAAACAATATTGCCATTTCTTAAATTAGGCTTTATTTTCAGTGCCGTTTTCACCGTAATTATACCATCACGAAGATGCATGCTGTAGTTTAGAAATACATGTATCTTGAAACAATTTTAATATGCCTCCCCGATTCCATGAAATCTGCAACTGAAAAAGTGTAAACGTCTTTATGGACCACCCTGTAAGTCTCATCCTTTTTTTGTTTATGTAGTTTCTTCCTTGTTACTCAGTTCTTCACACTTGCTTGTCTCTCGGGTGTCTTCAAAAAGGACTACACTCTCCCCTCAGCAACTTCTCAGCTAATCTCTCCGAGAAGTTATGGCAGTTATTACTCAGCAGGCTGTAAGGTCCGTAACGAGGCAGGTAGCTCGCGGCCACCTGTTTGATCTCCGTGGCTGAGCAGTTACTCTGTCCGTGCAGCATCCACTGGGCTGGGCAGCCGTGGGGATCACGACCCAGGGTGCCCCGGTCGTAGGATCGCAACAAACCGGCTCCCCACTCGTACACGTCTCCTCGGAAATACACCTTAAGAAAAACCCCCAGAAAGAAACAGAAACATCACCTTCCATCTCATGAATTGAAACATCACCCTTTAAGTCAAAAATAGAGGATATAGAAAAACATACACAAGAATGTTGGGTTTTGTTTGTTTGCTTTTTTATTTCTTAGAATAGTCTTATTGATTTCATTTTATAATATGCATTTATTTCTGGTAATGAAACCAAGGATTCCTAAAAAATGCCACAGGCACTGTAGCTCGAAAGCCTTTAGAAACCCGAGAAGAAGAGACAATGAGAAGAAACTACAGTTTTAGATGTGGGAGGAAAACCTTAGCAGAATATTTTGGGAAAAACCCACGGTATCAGGTGGGACTGGACCCCAATCCACATGTGGACCAAGGCAGGAATCGAACCTTGGTCATAGCGGTGGAAGGCGAGGAACCACTGCGCCAACCTGGCTCCCCTTCCAATTAAAGAGAACACCCAATTCCCTTAATCATTTTGCTCCCTCTTTACCTAACTTTTCCCTTTCGTATACAAAAGGACATTAGATATGTCACCCTTTTGAAAGCAGAGAAACCCCGAAAATGACCATCTTGGTATTTCGAAAACATGTAGACCTCAAACCTCTCACAGTATTAATCATGTTATATAGGGCTAAGGCCTACCTAAAGCCTAACACATCACTTGACCATTATATGATTTACATTCAAATTCTGTTACCACCGAGAAACGGAAAAATGGATCCTTGTATGCTCTCTATGGTATTACCATCGTATGAACCGGTTCCAGATTGCTGGGGAGAAACTTGAAGGGGTCGATGACCTGCCGACGAACGATACCAACTCGCATGGTGTCATTAGGCCAACCACACATGTAGTTTACGAAAGGGAGTCGACCCAACCAGACATCAGAAATGGGATCTAAAATTTAAATGAAAATGTGAGGAAAGATTCACGGATTGTAATATCTTATTAGTCTGCTCTAGTAAAGTAGGCCGAGTCGAGATAAAAGTTTGCGATTTTTGTACGTCGTTTCGTTAGTGAAGAGCAATATAGGCCTAAATTGTGACATAGTTCAGGTTTCTGATATTTGCCTTGAAACCATCAAACTTTCACTTACTTTAACATAAAGATCAGTCTGAAAGGTGCATTGATAAACATGGCTTCATGAAAAATTCAACTTGGCATTGTTCCCAGTTATGTCACAAAATGGCAGTTAGAACTATAGTCGACGATCCTTCCCCCAGAGGTGTTGCAGTTCCAGACGTTGGTGACGTCACTGCGAGATTTACGACCGTTGACAAACTAATGACCCACTAAATAAGTTTGACTCTTAATACATTGTAATTCATTGTTCTTACCTTGCGTGGGTTCTTGGCCTTTCGGTGGTATGCTGCTACCGGTGGTGCCCGACCGCCTACATCCATGTACGCCGTAAACAAACACCAACAACAACGCAGTCAATACAACAGACCGATTCATGTTGCACAAATATTCAGGCAGCGTAACTTGTCCTTAATAGGATGATCACTGCCTTGAAAGTTCAATGCCTCGGACAGCACTAAGCAACGCAATCCGGCGAGGAGCATCTTTTAAATGCATAAACTTCTTGTCAGGCAACGCACGGGAAATGTGCGTGAATCATCACTTAAAAATACCCCCAATTATATGCTCGACCTGAATTGTGTTATGGTGTCGTCATGGGAAGCTGATAGATGACCGTTAGATGCCGACTGCCGAATGACGATCAAGTTTGTTTTATCTACAGCAAAATTGTCACGCATAGGGAGACTAAAAACCTTACATTTTTCAGTGGCGGGCTTAAATGTGGGACGGTTCTTAACTTCGTGGGAAAGCTGTAGTGTTTCCAAATGTACACAAATGTCCAAACTATAAGTGAATATCGAGGACAGAACATTTACGGTGCGCCAGATCCGCCTTAATTAGATGCTCATGGCGCAGAAGGAACAATAACTAATACAACAAAAACCGGAGGGAACAATAAGATTCACACTAAGGAGAACTATAAAACAGCAGTACAACATGAGAAACAAATCAAAATGGACGAGCTAATGAAATGCTGCTAGAAATAAGCGGGTCTTCAGAGCACATTTAAACTCTTGGGAGGTAGCAATATGTTGAGGAAGTTTGATCCATAACATCCAGCATGAGAAAATGAACGGTTCACCATGTTTTGTTAGTTTAGGCACTACAAGCAAGTAACAATTCGAAGACCTACAATTTGTTCCTCTTTTACCAAAATGAGACATGGTTATCTTAGCATTTGTAAGCACGGCAATCACCACAGTCTATGAAACTGTGTGGAGTTTGTCTTCTTTTAATGCATGTTTGTCATGCGAGGGGAGACTACGAATACTTTTTTTTAAAGGCGGAGCTTAAATCGGGGGAGGGAGTGTCTTATGATCGGAAAGCTTTGTTTCCAATATACACAAAATAAAGTCCAAACTGAATATGATAAACCTTGTTTCTCCTCTACCAACTGAGAAATGATTCTAAGGATTTGTATACACAACAACTGTATTTATATCATCACATTCCATAAACTTGCATGGTATTTTGCGATAAAGCCTGCTAGAGTGTATATAGGTTAATCTTGAACGCCCCCACGGAGAAACACTGAGCCAGAATGTTTGATTTATGCTCATTTTCTGTCATCTGGCAGGTTGGTTTCGTTCATGTATAACATTTAATACCTCCCAAGGGATTAGAATTCCAAGTCTGGCAAATGTTTACAATTCTTTCACGGTGCTTTCTTATTAAAAAGTCCGCTTTTGCAAGAAACTGAGTCAATAAATGAGCCAATTTTACATTTTATAGGATCTGTGTGCTGGTCCCAGAGGGCCAGCCTATAGCGTCCTCTTTCGACCAATCGCAGCGACTGTTATTTGTGAAGTAGACCAGGACTGGCTTAAAGGACCATGCAATGTAATTTTTTAATGCAATCCTTCAAAATGCGCATTTAAGTCCCATTTAACCTTATTATTATTTTTTTTTGGCCATTTTAGAGGGTGCCTTTTTGGTTCTTATGCTCATGCGAATTTCCATGTCTATGAGCAACAGTGTGATGTCATTCCAGGCAGAAACCTCAACATTACACCTATTCCAGCACAAAACAATTTTTAAAAAAATTATTTGGATATTTTCCTGTCGTAATATTTTTTGTTGTTGGTGATTCATTGTGTCAGTACATGACAGTAAACCGATGAGCAACTCTTTCTCACAGATGTGTTCAATGAGCAAATTTTGGTCTCAAAATTTAAAAACAGAATACCCCTAAGCTGAACAGCGTCTTCCTGGAATGACATCACATCAACAGCACCCTCAGTTGTCCAGAAAAAAGCATGAATTTGTTTTCCAATGTTTAAAGAAGTGCACTCTTCAATCAAATTAACCAGAAAGGGATTTCAAATAGTTTTCATACATTTAAAAGGAGTAGAAAGTTGCACAAAATGTGTTCCTATGAAAAATTCATCTCACAGACTCACGAAGTTTCAACATCTCGGCCAAGTAAAAGAAGTCTTTTTACCAAGTATCAAGTCCTGAATACTCAATGCAGTGACAACTTACGCATGTACATGTGCATGAAGCTAGCTCATCTATTCGCTTTTTTGACAAGTGGTAGTGAACAAACCTTGAACTGTTGAACGGGTTTATTTTGCCTTTCGAACGCACTTTTTAAAAAGTATGCCAACTATGAAAGAAACCCTTGAAGAAGCGTGCAACAAAAATACACAAACGGTGCTTTGTAAGGTAAACAAAGTAGCGAGTTGGGTCAATGGAAAGTCGTTCGACCAGGACGACTCAGCCAGACAGCGGGCTATTCTGACACCAATCAGTTATCAAGGCACTTTACATCATGTTTTTGACAGGTTTTGTTCGGTTTAGTCAATATAAAAATACTGGTACACCCATGACCTCCATTCTATTGCCTTGTGCAGTTCAGTGTTGCATTCCGTTTCGCAAAGAGTTAAGACTGATGACAAAAGTGAGTAAAACTGGCACGAGAACTGCACGCACAATTCAAATTTAAAGTGGTGGTACAGGCATACTGCAATAAGGGTACCACACGCGTTCATGCTCCTTTGCTCAGCATATTATAATTGGATCTCTGCAAAAGACTACACAACATGAATGACGAATCCTCGGCAACAAAATGTGCATGGATCAGCATCTAACTTGATAGAGCCTGGATTTAAATTTCAACGCTGGTGCTTCTTGTGCATGCCTTTAAGGTTCGCTGACAATGTAAACCAGTTCTAGGTACTGTCAGAGTTTTGAGCGTCTATAGGTCAACCGTGCACTGAGAGCGTTGACTTGATACCAAAGCTGTACTTTCGTCTTTCACGCGCAGTGTCATGTGCAGAGGTTCACAGGTTCAGAGTGGGCGGGTCTTCCAGTGGTATCATCATGGTACGCTGTTCCACTTCTAGCATCTCGCATTACATTCTAGTTGGAGATACTCTGCATCTTTTTAAGCTTCCAACAACGAGACGACGAAGAGCATGGCTTTATCAACTCGGACAGTAAGTTGCCTTCAGTTGTTGCTCTTGCTTCCTGTGATAACCTGGATGCAGAGCCATGGCGTGGGGGCGATTCGAGCCGTCACGCGCCCCATCAACACGACAGGCGTGGTGGGACAGGATGCAGAGTTCTCCTGTTCCGTGGCGGACAAATCAGCGAATGAAGTCTTGACGTGGAGACTACAGTGGGACGACACGGCCTCCCCGCAGTCGGTGCACCTCTCGGCAGAACACAATGCTACGATGCTCGAATTTGACGAGTCGGCGAAACATGCAACTTACACAACAAGGTAAGTGTTGAAAACTGTCAGGTTTTTGACAACCAATCTCAAAAGTCTTTAAACAACAGATGCATAACAATAGGTAGGTATACGCGCAATCGCCTGGATATAGGCTATATACAATGACGGATCTATAATTGGGCAGCAAAAAATAAGAAATTCATGCAGAAAAAAACACAGGCCCGCCAGCCCTCCTTGAAAGCTGACACCCTGTCCCTTTAGCCAAGTTGGTTCCGCCCCTGGGCCATACTGGTTCGTAACTTCCCAAATGTGCCAATTAACAATTTCCAAACTATCCTCATTTTCAGGTATAGTGTGAATGGACCAATCCACACTACCGTACTACACATCGCAAACATCCAGCCATCGGATGCGGGCAGTGTTGCCTGCATGTATCAGATCACCGTAAGCGGGTCAGTCATATATTATACGATCCCGGAGTACACGCCCGTACGGCTCACCGTATGGATACCGCCCACACCAACGTGTTCCTTCACGAACCTGGATCCCAATGCGACTGCGTACGGAAGCCCTACAATCGGTGCGACTGTGGAGCTGACATGCGCGGATACGGTTGGCGTGCCGACACCGGAGTTAACCTGGCGCGCAGACGAGCGGAACCCCAATACGGTAAATCGCAGTGTTTACTACCATGAGCTTCAAGCTGAAGACAACGGGAGATGGTTTGAGTGTCAGGCTATCAGCCCAGCAAGTCAAACCCCTGTTATCTGTAGTGTACGACCCATGGCCGTTCCCCCAACTGCAAAAGTGACGCCAGACGTGCTCAACATCATCGAAGGAGGGAACATTGAGTTCACCTGCACAGGTAGCGGCCTCCCTGAGATATCATCATACCAATGGTTTTTAGATGGATCTCCTACCCACGCAGTTAACTCACAAATCTACCCTTCCATTAAAGTCACAAATACCGCCACGGGATCAGTTTTGACATTGGAGAAAATTTCGAAACTAGGACAGACTGTTGTGTCATGTGAGGTAATGCTCTCCGCTGGCCTCACGGGGCGAGCGAGTGGGCTTGTGGTCATCTCCAAACAGCAGGTAACCGTGACACCGGCTGCTAGGCAACAAGCTCATTCCGAACAGCAGCTTGGAACGGCGCCCTCTGTGTTCGCAATACCCCTGGCGTTTCTGTTCTTACTGCTCATTCTCATGGTTGCTTTACTCGTTTGGCATCGTCAGTTAAGACACGACAGTGATACCCAGAAACTGTCTTCAGATACAACAGTAAACGGAGTGGCGCCCAAGCAAGCTAAGCGGTCCTGGAAGGTCTACAGGGTTACAACGGTGTGACATTCCTGCTTGTACTTGGAGGAAAAAAAACCCGTCATCCAACAATGAAATAATAGAGCGAATAAGCATGAAGAGAAGTTGTGTAAAAATGACTACGAATAAAGAGTCATGCATTTTCTTGATGTGTGGGCTAACAAAGACCAAACTGATGTATATTTACAACACGTAAATCTTTAAATAAAAACATTCGCACCATATTTTGGAATAAATAAGTATATTTATACAAGCTACATCTACATGTACATACATTATCAGAATCACCAACTTCAGCTTTGTGAAAAAAATTAAGACTATTAAAGCTTATTCATTCTTTCTACCAAACCCTACAGAAAACAACCGTATGGACACTGATGTTTTATCTAACACAGTTGGTTTCAAATTACATGTATTATGCACGCCATGTCACGTTTGTTTACAAAATTGCATGTGATGCCAACTTTTAGCAAACGGTCCTCTTCTCCACGGTATATTCATGAGTCTTTTAAAAGTGTTGACATAAACTGTTTAACATGGGCAAAGTAACAAGCAAAAGATGCGTACACAGTTGACTCTCGTTATTGCGAGCTCGTGTAGGACGAGATTCCGGTTAAGACGAGCATATTTCGCCAGTCCCGACCTATGTGTGCACTTAATACGAGCGTTGGTAAAATGAGAATATACACGGATATTTATTTTTTATAATACAATGTAGTAGCATTTCATGATGTTGAGAAACTACTAACGATGACTTGCTGACATCTATTCCCCATGTACATAAGAATTCCCAAATGAACTCGTTTTTCGATATCTGAGGTTGGTGTAGACCTCTTTCAAGTTACCTCATGCAATTACAAAATGCTGCTCGACAACATATATACAGCTATATTTACAGACGTAAAATAAAATTATTTTCATTAATGGTGCAGATTTTGACGATCAGGTTGAGCCTGAGTATTACATTTCCTACCTTAAATACTACAGATTATACATAAACAGCTATTTACATGTTTAACCCTTCTATGCATACATTGTGCCAAGTTGTCCTTTCAGTCAAAATCAATCAAGTGACTGTTGGCAACAGTTAAGAGCTGTGACAGTTTATGTAACTTGATACAGCTTTGATTTGACTGTAGGTGATTGATGAGCCAGCTGTGCCTATCACTTGCTTTTGTCAGTTGACTGGATTTGACTCATCACATGTGCTTGCTTGAAATATGATCCGACTGTTGGTGACTAGCCTCTGTAAAAGGCATGGCAGGAGAAGAGGATTTATTTTGTGACTGTCTCTGACTTTTCAAACAGCAGGAGGGTTAAACTAGAAATATTTGAATTAAATTTTCTTTTTTTACATTTCCAGCTTGGAACTTGATTAAGACTTAAAGGAGCAAATTTTGCAAATGCTACATACACTATATAAGATTTGCTTTATTGAAAAGATTGTTATATCAGTGAAATACAGTTATCAAGATTCTTAATAAAGCAGACTTTTTTTAAGGATGCTAATATTTCAGATAAAGGGTGCAGTCACTTTGGTTTGTGTTTAATGAAGACTTAAGTACAACACAGTCACTGGTTTTTTTTGGGGGGGGGGGTGCTGAGAAGCCTGCACATACATGCTTGTCCTGCAAGATTGTTGCGGTGATTTTGAATTCCACTTTAGGCAACACACTGACGAGTCACAATAACTCAAAAAAGAGAACTGAGCTATTGTTGTCATGACTCAAACGGGGCATACTGGTGTCCCAAATCACATTATTTCATTAACAATACCCGCCTCCTAAACAAATTCCTCAAACTATTCATAAAATGGAATTTTGAGTATACAGCGTTTTTTAAAAACGTTGGTAAAGGGCAAAACCCAATATTGAAATTCTTTAAAATAATGTGGAACTCTATTTGCTAGCAAACTGACTGACGAGTAAAACATTCCTCAATAGAACCCTTAATTGTGTAACTAAGATTTTCTTCATTTGCATACTACTATCACAGTATAATTTTTAAGGGGGGGGGGGGCCATTAATGGGTGGGGTTCCACAGAGTGGAGAACCTTCATTCTTGGTGTTGCTGCTGTGTGAATGATGACAGCTTACCATGCTTCCGTTCTTCGACAATTTAGTCTGATTCCCAATCCCGTAATCATTTCTGGCAGGAATCTTTTTGAATCCTCTTAAACCAATTACTCTACAGGATCCCTGTGACATTGTCTTTGTACCTCAACTCACGAGGGGCATCAAGCCCCATGTCAAGTACTAATGACAGGCAGTGGCGTAAGCAATGTAACTAGGGTTACAATTCTGAGGAGGGAGCACCTGGGTGTGCGCACATTTTGTTCAGGGTGGGGGGGGGGGGCACCTGAAGGCAAGTGATATATACTTTTGTTCCAATTAAGAATTCAATGTTTTTTTATGAGGGGGGCAGCTGGAAGGGGGAGGGGGTGGGGGGGGGGGAGCACGTGCCCCCACCCACCTTCCGCAGTTACACCACTGATGACAGGGCTCTATCACTGCTATACTACAAAGCGGAAAAGTTGTACATGTATTATTACATGCCAAGGACAGGAAGACATTGAGAAGACAGATTCTTTGTTGTCCTCGAACGTACATCTTTTGTTGAAACGGTCCTCGGACCCAAGTCTGTGTGCCTATGGGACAGTGTTACATTATGGGATCGACGGGAAACACAATGCCTTGTCTTCAGATGCAATGATAATGTGCACCTGTGCGTATGTGTGCATAGTGGAAACCGGCGACCAAAATTAGAAGCTTTTACTGCGGTGCTGTCACACTCATGCGCATGCTGCCCGCATTCTTAAAGATGAGACGCACGGCGCACGCCCTTTTTGGTGTACTACCTGAGCACAACTCGTGCGAGCCTAGTGCCACCGCAGAAAATGGCTGCCACTGGATTTGTCTATAGGTATTGCAGTCGCAGTGTTGACCTGTGAACATAAGATTTCCATACGATGCTGGAGCTCAAGACATAATGTGGACATGCCACATAACATTTTCCACTTTCTGGAAAACAACCTTGGGGTCGGGTTATGTGCTGCTAAATATAGTAGAACACACAATGAAATCACGGTTACAAATTCAGTTTCAATGAGTGTTTATGAGAAGAAAGGAATGTCTACAGACATTATGAGAATACAAGACTTTGTGTGTATGTAGGTGTGTCCAAGTTGCACATGTAAACCAGGCCTGCTGCGAAGCAGGAGACACATGGCGAAGCCACCTACCCAGCAAAGTGGGAGAGACGAAGCCTCGTCTTCTTAAATCCTGCACAATCCCTCCAAACTCTCCGGGCGATTTTGAAGAATTCCAGCGTTCAATTATGATTGTACTTTATGCTGATAGTCTTACATATAGCAGGTGTCTGCCATCTCTTATCATGATGAGGGTTGCTGTTGGCTGCTCTGAAGTATTTTTAGTTCGTTCTGTTCATGTTTCAAGCGCAATCGTAAGATACGCTCCAGCAAATCCGACCTGCCGCAGAAACAAAGAATTCATTGAAGTCAATGATGTCATTCAGTCACCAAAATTACAAAGCTCTGATCTTAAACTGTTCTTGATGTCTATAAGAAACGATCCTTATTCAAATTCAACTTAGGATTTAACACTTGCTTTACATGAAACCTGTCAAGCTTATTTTTTGCCAGATGGCAACTTATTTTTGAGTGAGTCCACTAACTGTTAGCACTCCCAACACATTGTTCAAAGTCTTCAAATGAAACTGTTGCCCAAAATGATTGCCACAAGAAGAATAAACTGTTCATTCCTTTGTCAATGGATGAAATGAGTCAAAATCGGAAGCAATTTTGCTGAGGTAGAGGGTTAAAAAGGTGCAAAAGGGGGTCGGGGATAATATTTTGAGGCGGTGACAAAGGAATTTGGGTCAACACCTGGCGACAACTATAATGATCACGTACCTATGATCAGGGTTTGTGATGCCCATTTTCTCCATTCTGATTGGGTTGAGTCGCACTAAAGCACGCCCTGCAATAAAAGAACATAAAACTAAAAAGCTAGCAAATAAAATACCATTTGAAGAACAGGAAATCTAATTTAAAACAAATTATTTGACTGTGCCCTTTGGTCTGATCAAGTACACTCAGTGCTCTTTCCTTACCCACCATCTCTGGTGACCATGGTTCGAATCTCACCTTGTGCTATGTTAAACTGGGTTGTCTTCCCTACTTGATCAAGTCACTTTTTTCAGAATTCATCATCTGGAGTTTTCATCCCGATTATAGATTTTTTACTCTCGAATTAGGTCAGGAAAAAAAAACCCCATAGTTTCTCATCCAGCCTTTTGAAAAAATGAAGCGGGCGCTTTTTTCTTCTTTTTTTCCCCCCAAGATGGCAAATTTTCCTAGATGACGGTTGGATTCTTCAATTTTCTCGACTTTTTTTGCTGATACAAAATTGTGTCCAAAGAAGCCATTACCCATTCTACAAAGCTACAATTTTGTTGAAAACTTAAACAAAGACAGAATATTGACGAATTATATGCAAAATATACTACAAATGTATGAATTAAAAAAAAAAACTGAGGCAGCTGGGAAAAATGGCAGCAAGTGGGGACGAGAAAGTGTTTTTTTTTTACTTGGCCTTATTTGCAATTAACCAGTTCACGTCGGATGAGGTGTATACACCCAAAGTTTTTTGCGGTATTCGGAACGGATGACAGATAAACACATATGGCCAAAAAAAAAAAGTCTCCGGTTTCTGGTATGGAGCTTGCCCCAAAAGTGGTGCGGCGACGCGGCTTTTTTTTTTTTTTTACCTGGTTTTTTTTTTTTTTTGGCTTCAAATGTCGGCTGATGACTGCAAATGGTGCCCGACTAAACTTAGTGCAATATATGGGAGTCCAGAGAGGCCACATAAATCTTATTCTCGATCATAACCCCTTCTAAAAACACGTTAAAATTGTGCAGCAGCAGAATTCCAGTCAAACCAGTGAGTTTGGCGGTTTTGAAACATCATCTTGTATTGAAAAAAAAACTTTTTCATTTTGCTGACGCGCATGGCTACGGCGACGCGCGCGCATACCAGAAACCGGAGACTTTTTTTTTTGGCCTATAAGAGCAAGGCCAGAAATATCTGTCTGCGACCCGCTCGCAGCGAGCGAGGCCAGAAATATCAGGGTATGCTACCCGCAGATGACGGCCTGAAAAACAATCCCACGCCTAGGTCCAGGCAATGTCAAAATAATCCCGGCACGAACTGGTTAAGGGGGAAAAAAAATCAATCAATTAACTGCACCTGACAGGTCATGTTCCTGGAATACCTGGCTGTACAGCGTATTATACTGGTCATATTTCTTCAACCAACGTAGGACCTCTGCATTGCCCCAGTGGTACACTGTCTTTTTTGCCCGAGCACCTGGTTCACCAGATCTCTGCAATGAAAAGGTCAAAGGTCATAGTTCACTGTCAGTGTCATAATAATGCCCTTCTAGTTAACAAAATAGTTGCAATTGTCTAAAATAATACACTGCAGAAATGGATGGAATTGGGGGGTTGGAAATATATAGCAAATATAGTTACACTGACTTTTTTGAGGTTTTGGGTTCGAAAATGCTATAAAAACCAAGAAAAACAATCATTTTCCTGTAGTCTGGTCCCCTGACTCCATTTAAGAAGAAACAGAGCAGTTTACATATATTGGGGAATTGTAAGGTCAGGGAACCAGTCTAGCTGGCTTGTACCCGTTCATAGGTTTGTAATCGATTGCAAACAAGTGCGATGGTCAAATGGGGCCAGTATTTGAAAAAAAGCCAGTTTTTTCCAACGCTGATCGGCCGATCAGCGTTGGAAATAGATACAAAAATACCACTTTTCTTGAAAATGACAGTATACCAGGTGCCATGATTTTACAGGATGCTTTGCACTGTCATTCACAAACAGTCCAGTAAGGTATTTAAAAATGATTTGGTAGTTTTATTTTTTGATGTTTGTAAATGTTGTATTTTCCCTTTAACTAAAAAAATTTACAACATAAAAAAGGGACAAATGTCTATATGATTAGGAAACTACCACAAAGGTTTCATTTAGAGGGAAAAAAATTGTTTAAATAAACACAACGATTCACTGCATTAAGGATACTGCATTATAGATCATCTTTAGTCCGAAAATTTGGGACTCTCAATACTGTGTATGATATGAGAGTCCCAAAACTTAAGATAGTGAAAAACATGCAATACAAGAGAATAGACTGGCACATGAATCAACCAGTCCACCATCATCCCTTCAGTACTGCATCAATCAGCTGTGTCAAAGGAAATATCTGGTACCTGATCTCTCTTTCTACACATTCTCACCATAGGCATCAGGTCATGCCACCAGACTACTGAAGGGTCAAAATTTTCAAAAAGTTGGACATGCACCAGTCTAGTCTTAGGCTTCAAATTGAAATCACTTTGCATCACTCTCAGGTGCAAACTGTTGAAGAAAAGTCTCCTTTAAAATTAAATTGAGTCTTCAAACTTGGCTGGTGAAATACTGAGGACCTTGTCTTTGCCTCATGACAAATTTGGAGAATTTTGCTGGCTAAAGAGTGAGTAAAGTTGGCCTGATTTTGTTTTGCATATTTTTCAGCACTTAAGGTCCCAGTCTGGGTTTAGGTAAGCATTGTAAATTATCTCATGCATCGTAATAACAAATTTAACAAATTGTAAACATAGTCTACTGTAAACATAGAAAGCTTGAACATTTCATACCATTTTTTTGTGCTTGGCCTTTGCAGCGTGCGTCTTATCTTTATTCGTTGTTACTTCCCGAGTCCCGTTTGTCATATGTTTGGCTCTTGGTTCCTCCATCACATGACTTCTTCAACATCATCTGATGAAAACATGAAACATTGACTTTCAGAAACTAAAGAAATACCTCTACTTCAGTGTAGTGAACGGTGATCAGAAAGAATGCAGTGGTTGTTGATTTTGAGTACAGAGTACATGGGGAGTCCTAAACAAACAATGATTCATATAAATTATATAATTTTCAAACAAAACTGCAAATGCTTCTCTGTAAATTTATCTTTTTTTGTCAACATTTCTGCGACTAATGACATGGGTTGTAAACAGTCAGTGGCAGAAGAATTCTGACCTCTAGCCAGAAAATATTGTTATATAACGCAGGAAAATTATTGTAATCTAGGACTGCTTGTAAAAACACATGGGAAAATTCGGCCAACCGATCACCACTTACCTGCCGCCAAACATCCAAATTTTCACCTCATCTTGTGATTTCAACCAAGAGGAATCCAGGAAAGAGTGGACATGCGAAAAAAATGGGTAAAAATGTGTTTTTGGAGCACATTTTGCATGCACATGTAGTGCAGATCTGAGTTGAAGCAGCCGGTCAAAACTGATTGAAGTGTCTGGAACAGCGGTACGATCGATAACGCATGACATCGACAACCATGACGTCGCATGGGACGTCGCATGAGCCGGCCAATGATGGTGCAATACGTCATTATGAATATTTATTTTCTCATGAATATTTAGTTTATTTCAATGGATACTTCAAATACGTCCAAAGATTGATCATTGCAACAGCGATCGTGCGCGGCTTAGCGGTTAAGAGACTCGGTATCAAGCAAGCGTCCGAGGTTCGAATCTCGATGAAGTGAGTGACTGATTGATAAATAGAAATTAAGGAAAGGAGGGGGTGAGAGTAGAGGAGGGAAAGTGGAGGGAATAACCATAAAAGAGGTAACTTTTGGCGTTAGAAAATTAATTGAAAAAAGTGGTGATCGGATAGCCGAATTTTTCCAAACACATAAGCTTATGTCTCAAAAACAGTAAATCATGCATTCACTAAAAAAAAACCAACTCGAATCGAGGGTCGTACTCGTAAATACCGTGTAAAAATACGAGTCTGGACCACAAGATAACACATCAGGATCATTGTCTTTTTTAACTTTCTTTTGTGAAGTTTAATATCGTGTGAACATTCCTGTCCATACTCTTCCCGGATGTATATTATCTCCAGGTATTTATGATGTAAACTGAGACGAAAAAGTGTAACCCGACTTACCGAAGTGTACACACAAAACTTGCAGCCAGGAAGTAAACAACTCTGATATAGCGCCCTCTGTTGATCCTTGAAAGTGAATACTTTCATAGACTAGTTCCCAGTCCCTCCATCATCGATCCTGACCAATATTTTAGGGAAGCGGAAACTCACTACTTCCATCGTTCAGATGACAGAAAACGAAGGTTGATTGTCCCAACAAGAGGCCCATTAAAATTTTGAAAGCCGTTATCTTAATTTGCAACATTAAGTCTTCAAGGGATATGAACTTTCACATGAATTTTTACCATGACGGAAGAGTAAGTAAATCGTCAAAATTAACTTGAAAACAAGTTAGCACACATACAACAACACGATAGGATTTTTTTCATAAAACTGTATACATTGTTATTGTCAAGTATTTTCTCAAGACCTTAGATACATGGGATGGTTCTGTCTTCAACTCAGTAAGTAAGGCAAACAGAAACGGATTTGATTTTAACTTCAAAAGCAAAAGTACAATTTTATTTTAAAGAAAAATCAAATGAAAAAAAGAAGAGGAATATTTACAAGAATATTTACAAAATAATCAAATTAAATCAGAGGAACTTCCACAATTCAAGAACCCAACTTAAGAACGATCCAAAGAAATCAGGGTTTCTCTGAAGATGACAAAATGTAACAGAATTCAACTTAGGCAAATCAAAAGAAACTTCTCAAATCAAGCAAATTAAATCGCAGGTTAAATTAGCAGCTTAACTTAGCAGGTTAACTTAGCACGGCATAAAAATTAGCTACTTTGGAACAACACAAAACAAATATGAAAGCTCAATCCAACAAAATAATTCAGCAATTTCTCAACTGAGTCTTAACAAAATATTAACGGAAAATTTGCTGATCCAGCAAAGAAGCGAATACAGAAATATCAACCCAAATCTTCAAATAAAGCCAACTTAGTTGTTACATTAAAAGAAACAAAGTAAACAAAACAAGGCAACCGGTCTTTAAGTTTTACAAATTACAATTTAAATCAAAGCCAATTTGTGGGTTTTAGATTCCAGATTCTAGATGATGTGTAAGATACTTGCAACCTTCCCAGATACAGAATTCGGCTCAGGTGGGTGACACAAGTGTGGACTGGCTGGTCGTCTCTGCCTCGATCAGTGTGTTCATCAGTCACCACCTGGCTACAGTGGGGTCCCTGCCATTTAGAGATTGGTCTCACGGGATCGGAATAGGGTTGGTTGTTCCCACCAGGGAAAATGGTTATGGTAACTCTCGGGGAGTGTACTCTTAGGTCAGGCTACTGCCGTGTGACGTCTGGTCATATACAGCTGAAGAGAGGGTCAAGCAAGTACTTTTACATGTACTGCTGACTATACGTGGCTCTCGGCCTCAACAGTTTAGGTTGGCCGGCCCGGTACCTGCGGTGGCTGCTTCCACTCGCCTGCTGGTTACGGGTGGCGACGACCCAACACAACTTCACACAAATAACTCTTTGACACCTCTCTCTCCCAAACGCACAAATGGTTCTCTCCCGCACTCTACCTTACGCTTCAAATTTATACCACGTTCAAAAATGTGCTTTCACCTGGACTTCCGAGAACGTATAAAATACTACAAACGAATTACCATGGAAAAGACAGTAAATTACCATAACCATTTATTTCGAGGGGCGTCTTCCTACTGGTACCGTCGAATAAAAGAGATAATTGGCCTGTGCTACCAATTAGGTGCGAATTCCGTGAAGACATCGCGTTTAAAAACTGTTGCGTAAGTATCTAGATCGAAGTGTGATAAACTGCGTGAATTCGGGGCCGAGTGAACGATAAAGGAAACAGACACGAAACGTACAAAAAAAAACTCTGGCATAAAAACGAGACATAAAAAAAATGGAAATAATTTGACAGTTATCATGATCATTATTTGTGTGATAGGACTCGTTCAAAAACTAGGTCTAAGTTAAAATTATCGCCTGTAACAGAAAAGCTGTAGACTGTAGTGTTACATATATATTTTTAACAGAGCGAATTTGTTTTATTCATTTTCGATCATGCATGAAACACCCACTACTAGTATGCAGGGCGCCAAACCGAAATTGAACAAATTCCTTTGTTGAATTGATCCAAACAGCTTAAGAGGCTTCAAAATACACTGATTGTTTTCAGTTACACAATAAAAATATTCAAGAGATTCGAATAATACAATCATAGATTGGTTCTTAAAGAAGCAATTCTAATCATTTTTTTCCCCAAATTTGTGAGCAAATGCAATAAGCTACTTGTGCGGTTTGTGCCTTGTATTTCCACATAAGTTGCTTTAAACTTTTGTGGTCATTGAACTGTTGCTGGGAGACGCCACTCGAGGGAGCTGTTGTTCCTCAGGTTCTGACGTCACAGATTCTTCAGCCTCGGTTTCAACTGTCCAGGTCTTCCGTTCGTTCTCCGTTTCGTCCTTCGCAGGTTCGTTTTCCGCAGGTTCGTTCTCTAGTTCATATTCCTGTTTGGAATATAAAAGTTACAATCAAACTATTTCCTTGCAGAAAGCATTCTTCTGAAAAAATAAAATTATCTTCAATGTATTTGTTTCAAGAGTAAACGTATGTAACCGATAGACAGTGATTTTAAAATGGCGCGGCGGGGCCCGCTTTCACATAGATTGTCCGAGTATCACCCGTTGTCCACGGAGACCTGTCTCACAAGGGTCTATTACATAAACTAACTTTCACAAAGGTCTTGGAATTTTTTTCACCAATGTCAGAGTTTCCTTTATTACTTATAATGTTTAAAGGGCCCATGTAATGGCATTTTAAAAATGCAATTTATGAAATGTACCTTTGTGTTCCATTTCATTTTATCTTTAATATTCATATTGCCATTTTAAGGGCAGTGTTGACACATTTTTGGTTTTCATGCTAAATGCAAATTTTCCATATTCATGAGCAAATCTGTGACGTCATTCAAGGCAGAAACCTCAGTTTCACACCCAAAAATCACATCTACTTCAGCATTAAAAGTCACCAGAATTTTAGGGATTTGCCGTGGTTCGTCTATAATCTCAGTGGTTCATTGTTGTTTCAGTATATAACAGTAACATATAATGAGCTGAGAAAATTTATGCACAAATCTTTTCAATAAGTAGAATTTTGGGTTTACAAATTGAAGGAAAAAAAAACCCTAATCTGAAGAGTGTGTTCCTAGAATGACATCACAGCAACAGCGCCCTCAGTTGTCAGGAATAGCATGATACATTTTAAACGATTAAAATGGCCCACTTTACAATCATTATTTTTTTACCAAAAAAAGAGGGTTCCTCATATTTTGTACACATTGTAGAGGAATGGATAATTTGTTACAAACATTAATTTCATGATCCATTTAATACCATTTGGTTGTTTTTCCGACACCAGCAAAAGACGGAGTACCAATCAACAAATAGGATGTCGTCCATCTTTTTAAAGTCATTGAATCCTATTGTATGAACAAAAAGATAAAAATATGATTAGAAGCAAGTTAAATCTGTAATTAAACCACGATCTACAAAAATCCATCTAAACTCTACTTCATCCACGATTCACCAGTTTGCGATAAACTTCAAGCTTCATTCGAACTTCGTAAGAATATCTTGATAACTTTTAGTAGACCACATCTTGCCTCAGTTTCAAATTCTGTAATAACAAAGGTTTAATAAATTGTGGAGTGCCGTGGCCTCGTGGCCTGGGCACTGAATTCATGGTCTGTGGGTCATTCTGCAGGTTGTGGGTTCGAGTCCAGCCTGGGGTTATGGTGCGGGTGCCCGTGGGTAAGGCACTTTATCACTCATTGCTTCTCTCCACCCAGGAGTAAATGGATACCTGTAAAGGCAGAGATGGTTCTTGTGGTAACTTTTAGCTGCTTTTTGCGCCAAAATGGCAGCATCGAGCTGTATACTTCCCAGGAGCCGAGATTGTCTTTGAATGTTTCATTGGCCCACAGGTAATAATAATGTAGCGCCTTGAGTATCAATATTGGTGGATACATGCGCTTAAAATACACATTGTTGTTATTATCTCACCCGTGATTAGACTAGTTAATAGTCCTACCAGGATGACAGTACACATAGTGATGGTTGGGTACCACCATCTGGTGATCCGGTACAAGACAAACACGCTGAAAATAATGATAAAACAAAAAAGGAAATTAAAGATTCAACCTTTGACAAACAAAATAAATTCAGATACACATATTTATCATTCTCGCTGACATTTCAAGCTCTAAAAAGTGCCATTAATATGATTTTTGCACCGGTCATTATGTTCTTAATACTTTCAAACATGGTCAATTAGAACTTGAGTGGTGCGCGAACGGGATGAGAAACACAATTTGTGTAACGTTATACTCCTCTTACATATATGAAAACTATTTGACGTCCCGTTTTGGTCAATTTTATTGACACGTTTGAAATTTTCCATGCTTTCAGTTCCGGACAATTGAACTGAGGGCATGCAAGGGCGGATCTAGAACACAATTTTTTTTGGGGGGGGCCCAAACAATTTTTGGTCCCCCAACAAGTGGGTCCAAAAAATTGCGGCGTGGGGTTCGGGGCCGGGTCCGAATTTTTTTGGATTGAAGATGCTCTGTGGTGCGATCTGAGGCAAGTTCTGACCACTTCGACCATTTTTTTTTGAGGAAAAGATGGTGGTGTAGGCCCTACGCAGTGCAAGAATTGCGATGTCACTTAAAAAATATATAATAAATTAGGTTCTTTTTTTGGGGGGGGGGGCATGCCCCCCATTGCCCCCCCCCCCGGATCCGCCCTTGAGGGCATACTGTTGTGATGTCATTTCAGGAAGAAACTGTTCAGTTAAGGGGTTTTCTGTTCAAAGTGTGACCCAAACAATAATTGTGTTCACTGAAAACATTTGTGAGAAAAGTTTGCTCGCTGATTGACTACTTGTACTGAAACAACAACGAATCGCCAAAGAAAAGAAACTTTACAACCGCAAAATGACCAACATTCTGGCAACTTTTGGTGCTGAAATAGGTATAACATTAAGGTTTCTGCCTGAAATGACATCACGCTTTTGCGCACGAATATGAAAATTTGCATTTAGCATAAAAAACAAAAAATGTATACCCTTGAAAATGGCAAAACAAAAATTGAATATAGGATTGAATAGGACACAAAGGTGCATTTCTAAGAACTGGATTAATTTTAAAAAAATACATTTTTTTAAAATTTAATACAAATTGTCAATTAGGACTTACTATTCATCATCAGGTGTTATTGCAGTTGTGTTAAATCCACCTGTTATCTCTGAAGTATTGCCAAAAGAACCATTCATAAAAACACCCTGAGTGTTCAACAACAGATTGCCGGTAGCTTCGATGGTTCCCGTCACCAACCCATCAACGGAAGTGGTCATGTACATATCTGATGAGTTGGTAGTGCCGTTGGTTACCAGTTCTACCTGGCATCCGGCAGTGGAGAGAGGTAGATCGGCCGGTGGTTTTTGGAAAATAAGGGATCCGATGAAAATCCAGAGGCCGATGCTGGAACCAGAGAAGAAACCAACCAGGGCACCCTGAAATATAAAAACAAAAGTTGGAAAAGATGAACTGCAAACAATAAAATGCATCAATAAAAATGTGGAGTGCTGTGGCCTCGTGGTTAAGGGCACTGGATTCGTGGTCTGCGGGTAAAGCTGCAGGTTTGTGGGTTCGAGTCCAGCCGGGGGTCATTGTGCGTGTGCCCTTGGGCAAGGCACTTTGTCACTCATTGCTTCTCCCCACCCAGGAGTAAATGGGTACCTGTGAGGGCAGAGATGGTTATTGTGATTGATTTAGCTTCTTTGCGCCTAACAGGCTGCATCGAGCTGTATACTCCCCAGGGAGCTGAGATGGTATATGGAATGTTTCATTGGCCCAATGAGCAGGGGTAATAATAATGTAAAGCGCTTTGATCTTAGTTGAAAGCGCTATATAAGAATCTGTTATTATGTATTATTATTATCTCCATTTTCCAATAAGAAAGCCAATTTTTTTCCTGCGCTAAAAATATGCTCATGGAATTCAGATATGTGCACATTTTTTTTTCAGAGACCGTTTTACGGATAAATTATGTGGTCACGTGGTAATCGTTGGGGGCATTTCAATGGAAAAACATCGTTGATAGAATGGCATGATGGGACGTAGTTTCAATGAAATGCCCCTAAAGATGGCGGTATCCTGAACGGGTCTAAGCAGGAGAGTTTTAACAGTAAATATAAAACCTAAATATTTTTGGTAAAATTGAAAGTTGCCCGTCGATGGAAAGTTAGTTACAGACTTAAATCACCTTGATTGAGAAATGATAATAATTTCACAATAAAAATTAGACTTTGCATTTTTCTTCGCCGCTAGAGGGTGGCAGTCACTCATACCTTAGAGTTGCATCTTGGGAACATGAAACCGAGGATGAAAACGCCCATGACTGGCCCGCTGGTAATGCCGATCAGACCAATCAGCGTCTGAGATCAAATTAAATTAACACAGATTATAAATACAGAATACCAATTAACAAACCAACCGATGAAAAAAATGACTGCAAGCCGAAAGACAGGTCAAATGTTTACAAGATTGAACATGTTCTGCATGGTTAATTCACAGTTGATTCAAAATTTGGACTTTAGGGTGTCATTTTTCATCGAGAAAAGAGAAATTGAACATACCGGTAGTATGTCCCCTAATGATGACATGAAGTAAGTCATTCCAATGTTGAGAACACCAAAGAAAACGGCTGGGAAATGAGAACATGAAATAATTATTGTAAGACACTATCAAAAATATATCTCGGATAATCTTCAAATACCACAATCAGACTGGAACAAACGAGAACACAAACTATTTTGTTCATTTTTCAATATATCATGGATTTTGGCTTTGCCAACGTAACATCATACAAACGTATATTCAGTGCTTTCCGAGGTTTTGCGAGAAAAGAGTCCATCCTACAAAATAGTGAGACCGCTGTTTTAAAACCTACAGATATATGGCGCTTTACCTCATAAGTCGGTAATTTTTACAGAATATGAATGGAACTGTTATTCTGACATTATGGATTCTTACCTAGTAATTTGGTCACCACGAGGTAGGTGGAGTCGGGCATTTCCGTCCATATCTTGGTGATAACGTGTTCGCCTGTGAGAGTCACCACAGAATTGATGACTGAAGATACGGTACTGCGAAAATATTGACGAAAAATGTGCCAAAATAATGAGGAAAATAAGTGCATGCTGAATTAACTACTGCTGTACAGACCTAATTCATGAGAAAAGCATTTTAGATCTTGTTCCCTGAATCTATTTACTGTTGCATGGGATGGTGCCAGACTATTTTACGATTGGAGTGCGTGCCAAGCCTCACTTTCAAATAAAAAAAAATATAGTACAGGTATAGGGTACAGCAGGGTAGTTTACCTCGCTTTCAATTTAATATGGCCGACTCATCAATTTAGCCTGTTCGAATTTATTGTACCACTCTTATTTCTATGCATGATATCTCAGAAAGACTATGAATGTACATCTTATATTAACAGCAACGTCCCAAATAACTGCTAAAAGTAGCATGCTTATTCAACAACGATCGATGGGCAGTCGAATCGGCTGGCTTGGTATGGTTCATTGCAAGCTTGGTTTCTATTGTGTTCTGTTTCTTTCAGTTAGTTGTTTTAGGTTTTTTTTACCTTAGGGCGGCGCTGCAAAGACCAGACACGAGAAGACCCGCGAGTCCCGGTACGTGGGAAAATGATGCAACCGCGAAATACGGCAGCAACTGGGGAAAAAGGTTCACATTCAGCTTACGATTTTGAGCAGGAAATAGCAATTTCAAAGATAACTTGTGCTTACCCCCACCACCCAACATTCATCTCCGCTTTACTGCATCTTTCACATACTGTTTGCCATATGTCAATCGTGGGAATGATTCAACTTTCAAGAAAATTACAGGATTACAATAGAACCACCGGTGGATTCGGAACATAATTTATGGGTCAAAACACCGACCGACCGTCTATAATTCGAAAACGGGTCGGGGTTTGGAGGGGTAGTGGACCTCACCGGACGGTGAAGGTTTTGTTTTGCCCCCTTTATCCTTGAATCCATGGAGGGAAAGGGGATGATGAGAAGACTTCAGCATTGGTTCAAAAACTGTTCTAAAAAGACTCTCTTATTTTTTTTTTTTGGGGGGGGGAAGGATCCAGGTTGGCAACCTGATCGATCCGCCAGTGTACAGAACCAGTTGACTTGTAGAGACCCACTCTTCATTCTCTGATCGTAATGTTCTACATGGGATCTGTTTTGTGTGCGCGCGTTTGCTTCTGCATTCAATAGGGGACGTTGAACAATGTTATAGAGGTTTAGAGGGTCCCCAATTCCCCAGATGTCCCGAATTTGGCGATCGTCTACAAAACAAAAGAGGGACAATATGGGTCCACGATTGTATGCAAATACACACTTGTAAGTGGGTCTGGATGGTCTTGACTTTATACCCACCTCATCACGAAATACGATGAGATCTCGACTAAACGGATCACAGTCACCGTACAAGGCAAAGACGCCAAGTCCAGCAAGAGTACAGAGTATGGCGACAACTTCACAGCCAAAAAGGAACATACCCATGGCCCTACAGAAACAAGACCAGAGCTTCGATTTGTGACAACAATGCCATTTTCTTAAAGGGTCAATTAAGTGAGTTAGGGAACGTTATTTTTTTGCAAATTTCTACTCCCCTTAAATATTTGACATCCCTTTGTGGTTAATTTTATTGAAAAGTGCACTTCTTTAAACATTTAAAAAATATCCATGCTTTTCCAGACAACTGAGGGCGTTGTTGCTGTGATGTCATTTCAGGAAGACACTGCTCAGTTTAGGGGATTTTTTGTTCAAATTGTGAATCCCAAAATCTGCTCATTTAAAACATTCGTGAAAAAAGTTTGCACATTGGCTTACTGCTATGTACTGACACAGCATCGAATCACCAAAGAAACGAAAGTTTACGACAGCAAAATGTCCAAATTCTGGCACTTTTGGTGGCGAAGTCCTGAACTAGCTTTAACATGTGGGGTTTATGCCTGAAATGACATCACACTTCTGCTCATGAATATGGAAATTTTATTTGCATTAGCATAAAACCAAACAAAAATTGAAAATAAGATTAAATAGGACACAATGGTGTGTTTCCAAGGATTACATGAAACAATAAACAAGCTTTAAAAGTATATTTTTTATCAAGCAACCGTTTAGAAAAGATGAAACAAGTGCGAGTGCACAATAAGCTCTCACTGCGACGCTGATGGTACATATGGAACACCATACATTTGGTCAATTTTCGGTGACACACAGACAGACAGACAGACAGACAGACAGACAGACACCCACACCGACAGACAGACATACATACGCACAAAGGAAATACGCTATCGCAATATCCCCTTCGGCTTACATCCACAGGGATAAAAAGGAGAATATTCACCCCCTACTTTACAGCAGTTTGATCCGCCCCTATTATGCAAGACTCACATGTGTGCGGTCTTCATGTCTCTGCACGTGTTGTATCGCTGGACTTGGTACTGCAATATGCACAGTGAAGGCATCCAACCAAAGACACCCCCAACGACGACGGACCAGAAGCTCAAGTACTCCGTCGGATCGAAAGAAAAACTAGGAAAATATGAATGATGGAAATCTTTGATGATACAAGTATATTATTTGGCACACAGTCAGAGTATGTCATGAGAAAGATATTGGGCTATTAGTCCAGGCAATATAAGGTTTGACCTCAAATAAATTGCAACAGAATTTTTTTTACCACAGTGCATTTCTTTAAGGTCCCTAAAATGACATACTAAAAGTCCAAAAAAATCCAAGTGGTGGGAATATGCCTAATTTGCATAAATCCAAAATTGCCGCATATTTTAGGACTTTCACAATGATTTGGTCATATTTCTCATACTATTAGCTTCTTGAGGAACTTTAAACAACAATTTTAGTCCTTTAATTTACATTGATTTCATCATTACTCTAGTCCTAGGTAAATTTCAAGATCCCTATGTTTCCCAGATTTGCCAAATGCGGTATAATAATTTGCATAAATGCCGTATATTAATGTGCATAAATTAAAGTTAAAATTATGGCTGTCATGTGTTGACATCACAATTGAATTTTCCCTAATAACTTCTAGTTCAGTTACATGTATGTATACATAAATATCACACCACAAAGCATCTCTAAATGGTCCCGAAAAAAAAGTACAAAAAAATCCAAGTGGTGGAAATATGCTTGATTTGCATAAATTCAAAATAGCCACTAATTATATGATTTTCATATTGATTTGGCCATAACTCTCGTCCTACATTGCTTTTTGGGGTACTTTAAACAACAATTTGTCCTTTTACATTGATTTCATCATTATTCTAGTCCTGGGTACCCTTCTAGATCCCTATGTTTTCCAACTTTGCCAAATGCCGTATAATAATTTGCATAAATGCCGTATATTAATTTGCATATAAATCAAAATAAAAATTATGGCTGTCATGTGTGGACATGCCACAATTGAATTTTCCCTAATAACTTCTAGTTCAGTTATGTATCACACCACAGAGCATATTTATATGGTCCCGAAAAAAAAAGAAAAAAAATCCAAGTGGTGGAAATATGCCTAATTGCATAAATTCAAAATGGCCACTAATTATATGATTTTCATACTGATTTGGCCATAACTCTCGTCCTACATTACTTTTTGGGGTACTTTAAACACAAAATTTTCCTTTTACGTTGATTTCATCATTATTCTAGTCCTGGGTACCTTTCGAGATCCCTATGTTTCCCAACTTTGCCAAATGCCGTATAATAATTTGCATAAATGCCTTATATTAATTTGCATGAATTTAAATAAAGTAAAGTAAAGTTGAAGTTACAGCACAATTAGGACCCATGTTGGGACTTAGGCCATGGAAAATGGGTTGCGGGGGTAACTATTCATCAGGTTTTGCACTTTTATTGAGTCTGATTTAAGAGGCGCAAGATACATATTGAGTAATCTTCATCCAAGAACAGAATGACAAAGTTAAATACTAATTCTTAACAACTAAAAAGGAACAAGTAGCAAGTCAATTAAATAAAAACACAATCATAGTTAAAGTCGCAATTATTTAAGTGGTTCTCGCTAAATCACTTAACAATATCACTTTCGAATATGCAACTCAAATACAAAATACGGAATAGTAAATGAAATGAAAGGGTAGCTTAACTTCTTATCATTATATGATTACTGTGAAGAGAGAAAACAATTGTACTTTTCCTGATAATCCAAGTTCAGTTATGAATACAGAAATATCACAAAGATTCATATTGGCGGCCTATCATCCATATTGGCTTGCATACAATGTTAGTCTGATTGTTATCATCTACACGTACATCATTGTATCTTAGAATGAACACTTATGTGGCAGACTATAATCTTCAGCAGCCTAGGATCAATGTCTGGTGGTGGCGAGTTGGCACAACTAGTGCCACGGTTTTCAGTGCAAGCAGTTGAACAAGAGAGACCATACTTTCGGCACGTGCAGTTTCTATTCGCACAAGTCTTTCTAGCGCCCTTTCGTTTTTGGACGGTTAGTCATGACGGTTCGTCATGACAGCTCGTCATAACGGTCGTCCTGTCCAATCACATTCCTCGCTGAAACGAAGGGGCGTGATCAATCAAATTTTGTCAATCAACTGGCTCCTCTGTACGGTAACCTTTGTCATTCGTAATAAAGACTTTAGAATGCAACAACAATGCAAATTGAAATCGAATGCAACAACAATGGAAATTGAAAGCCAGCCCATGCAGTTGCTCACTTTGAATGGGATTAGTGCGGGAGTTTCAAAAGGGGTACAAGGCCATAGGCCCTACATTTATTTACCACGCGATGTTTAAAGTTCTTAAAGAAAAGGAGCAGGAAGAAATCTCTTTCATGCTGTGACTGTCTTAGGGCGCCGATGAACTCGTACGAAAACATGATGGATTACAGGGTTCATTTGTTTATTGCGAGAATAAATTGGCAAACTTTCATCACTACATGTAGTTTTGAACCCAGTGCATGTGTTTATATATACTATATATCCACATGTACTATATGTACATGTGGATTCAAACACTGAAATGCCACTTTTGCAATATACCCCATAATCCTTCATTTTTCTGTGCGACTTCATCTGTGCCTGCATGGAAGAGGGTTTTTTCTCAATTCTTTTCTTTCAGAATTCTAAACATTGCACGACATGTGCCTCCTGCCTAGTTTAAGTCATATTTGCTATTAATTTAATACACATTTAACAAAATGGGCGTCTGCAAGGGTGTCGCTGGGGGTGGGGTGGGCAAATGTCCCCCGCCCACCCAAAAACAAAATGATCAATTGAAAATATGCTAGAGAGAATACAAGGATTTTGGGGGACAATTAAATTGCTTTGCCCCCACTACAAAAAAAATCCTGGGTGGGCCAAATGAGTGGCAAATTAAGTGCTTTGCCCAAGGGCACACGCACCACAACCCCACGGCGAAATAACAAGAATTATTTTATTTCATACACTTCTCTTTTTTTCGCCATAACTGATTGCAATGGTACCTCACCAGTTTAGTTTCAACAGAACGTAATAAAAAACATGTATTTTTAGATGATAAGCATATGTTACATAAACTCCAGGGACTCAGAGGCTCTGTCAAATTCCAAATTGAAGTCTACCGACACTGCTTATGTTTTTGAGTAGTCATAATGTGAACCAAAAAAAGTGGATCACGTCTCCCATATTAGGCAGCTTTTTTTCTGCTTCTATTACTTTGACTGGATGGCTGGCTTTAAAATAAATTGTCTTCACAAATTAATATTCATGAGTAGAAACGAGGAAGAACAAAAGACAAATGGACAATAATTGCAGCCTCTCATTTCCAACAAGCCTCCTTCTACAGTATCAGATTTAGAGGGGGCGGTTGCAAATCCTCTCTGCCGTTCAGCAGCTGCCTAATTTTATAAACTATTAAAATAGGACCAAAAAATAACAGAGCAAACTTTTATTATGCCCTGCAAAAACCAAAAAGCCACAAAATCCTTTTTTTTTTTTTTTTTTTAGAAAATATTGAGCATATTTTATTGCTTATGCAGAAAATTATGATTCGTACAGTCAAGCCAGGAACCGTTCTTTCGATAATTCAGAATATAATTTTATTACGTCTGTGCAAAGACAAAACAGCCATAATTTTGTGTATTTTTAGATGACAGGCATGTGTTACATTAACTCCAAGGACTTTAGTGGATCCGTCAATCTCCAAATTGAAGTTTGACGTTTTTATTTTCGGGTAGCCATGTGCAGCACCAGAAATGCGCTTCAAAAGTTAGATTATGTCTTCCATATTATTTGCCGAGGCAGCAACCAACTTCCAATTGAGCAAGCAGTGATCAAACTCCTTTTTGTGCCGTAGTGTGGTTAGGGTTTGTGACTCATGATCAGAGGGTCAGGAGTTCGAATTCAGGTGCTGGTCATTATGTTGTGTCCTAGGGCAGACTTCATCCACGCTTGCCTCTCTCCAACCAGGAGTATAAATGGGTGCCGGTATTAGCTGTGGAGTAACCTGCGATGGACTAGCATCCCATCCAGGGGGAATAGAAATATTCTCTGAAACCGAGATAAATGCCGGCGCTGCCCATGGCCCAATGGGCCACACTTGCTCCTGACAGACTTTACTATTTAATTACTACTTTTTATCATCAAAAAAGTGGTGGGTAAATGCCCCCATGCCCACCCTCGAAAAAAGATAAATTGAGAATATGCTGGCAAAAGTTGGAGTTTATGCAACAGAATTATGCTAATCTTAAAATAAAATGGCTGGTTTGTTTTTTTTGTTTTTTTTGTCTTTTGCATGGGCATAATAAAATTCTGCACTAAAGTTACGACATTGGTAGAATTGACAGAGCGTCTCACGTCGTTAAAGATTATGAAACATAATTATGCTAATTTTAAGATAAAATTGCTTTTATTTTGTTTTTTTTCTTGGTCTTTTGCATAGGTATAATAAAATTCTGCGCTGAATTTACGACAACGGTAGACTTGACGGAGCCTCTAACGTCGTTGGAGTTTATGCAACATATGCTAATTTCATCATAAAATGGCTTTTATGGGTTTTTCTTTTGCATAGGCATAATAAAATTCTGCACTGAATTTACGACAGAAAAGTTTGTGGCTACACGCTGAAGAAATATTAATTTTCAGCATTCAGATATGAGAGGAAAACTGGCGAGGTGCGATTTCAATCGGTTATGGCGAAAAATATCAGAAAATGGACGAGTATATTAGAATTGAATTCATGGTCAGAATCGGAATCGGTAGACTTGAGGGAGCCTCTATGACGTGTTTGGAGCTTAATATATGCAACATTTGATTATCTCAATATCAAAAATAAAATGGCTTATGTCTTTTGCATGCATGGGCTTCCTAAATTTCTGCACTGAGATAACGAAAAAAACTTTGTGGCTACACTGTCGAACTATTAAATGTCTGCATAAAGGTACGAATTAAAGAATCAGTGTTGATATGCGAGTTACGCCGAAAGAAATCAGAAAAAAGAATATTAGTTTTGAATGCTTTGTGTGATTTGTACAAGTTCCTGGATCCTCCCCTGGGTT